TATATTTTATATTATAAAATTTAATATCCCGAAAATACATCGTGTATATTTATCATATTGAATTTTATATATATATATATATATATATATATAAATAAATTTAGTTATTGTGACTTATAATACTTTTAATACTTTTTATGTTCTCGAGTTCACGATCAAAATTAAGAATTTTGACTCTCTCTCTCTCTCTCTCTCTATATATATATATATATTTAAAATTTGAACCCATAATTTTAACAATATATTGGATTAAGTTATAAGAACCTAAATATTGAACTCATCAAAATTTAAATCGTACATTTTCAATATATACACACTTTCTCGAAAAATATTTTCCATTCACCGATCAAAATAAATTAAAACAAAACCATTTTCTTAGTTAGAATTTACAAATGACAGGCATGGAGCAATGGTAGGGTATATGCACCAATGCATCGAGTGATTATGAAAGGAACTGAGGATAAATATTCGCTCGCGTTATTCTCATTTATGCGTGGGACAGTGAAAATACCAGAGGAGCTAATTGATGAAGAAAACCCACAATATTTCAAGTCATTTGATCACTTTGAATATCTGAAATACTGTGCAACAGATGGCTGGAAAGAGAAAAATCCCATTAAAGCCTATTGTGGTGTTTGAGCCATTACACATGCATACTTGAATATTTTCTTGTAATTTCACGTTTTTTGCTGCGTGCCTTCTATATTCAGCTTTGCTGAACTATGTAAAAATGTGTTGGAAAAAAAAAATACGTTAAAATGTTAATGGGTAGTAAAATGATAATTACTACTATCATGTATCATGTACCAGTAGTATCTAATATGCAATAAAATTACAATTTGTGATTTGTTCTTTCTGTTCATTTTCTTTTACGTTTTCTTTAGCTATTTACCTTTCTGTTATTTGTTATACTTTTTGTTACGTATATTGAATAACACGGTTGAACCACCAAGGATGTGGTGCAGCGGATAAGGCTGCTCTTCCCTTAACCAGAGATTTCGGGTTCGAGCCCTGGGTATGAAAAAATCCTTGGCAGGAAGCGCTTTCTTCCGAATGGGGTCATACATGGCGTGAATCTGAATATAGTCGGGCTCCAATACGCATACCAAACATCGGATGGAAAACCAAAAAAAAAAATAACACTGTTTGAAGAGTATCCTAGCAAAGCAAAAAACAATTCTAACTAACATGAAGCAACAAAATTGCTTATCAGGAGTAACTAGTTTTCAGGTAATTGGAATTTGGAATTCATTTTCTCGACCAGCCACTGGAAATTTCTCAAATTGTGCATAACTTACAAATACTGTTTGAGGCTTGCACATCATAAATAAAAAGTTCACTTTTCTATGTTATTATTCATCTCATAAACAATCTCCACTATAATCTATAACATTAACTAGCACACGAACCAAACTAACTCTAAAGAACAACAAGACTGAGTTTTCTAATTCAAACAACCGAAGATTACTGATTATATTTCAAATATCTGAAGTTGCAAATTAGTTCCATAACTAGAAGCATGTTTGGCCAATCTTCTAAAATCTACTTATTTTGAGAAGTGTTTTTTTCAAAAGTATTTTTTACTTTTGGTGAGAACCAGTTTGTGTTTGGCTAATTAATTTGGAAAGCACTTTTGAGCAACAATTATTGTTTGACCAAACTTTTAAAAATTGCTTCTAAGTGTATTTTTCCCAAAAGTGCTTTACAAAAAAGTGCTTCCGGAGAGAATTACTTTTTTTGTTTCTTAAAATCTGATTCTGCTTCTAATCAAAAGCACTTATTTTTTCTTCAAAAAAACTTGGCCAAAACGCCTTAATTTTGAGAAAAAAACACTTTTAGCCAAGAAAAAAGTTTGGCCAAACAAACTATAAAAGTAGCTTAAGTGGTGTCAAATGGTACGACATGAAGATAAAATGATCGGTAAATATTTAAAAGTAAAAGAAGAAAAGTAATGGAAGAAAGAGAGCATAAAAATCATGGTCATATTGACTTTAAACACCCGAATTAAAGATTTTCTACCGACGTGAACCAACGTAGAGTTATTACATTCCTGTCAAAGGAAATCACATTGCATGTTTTGCCAAACTTCTAAAATTAGTTTATTTTGTTAAGTACTTTTTTTAAAGTGCTTTTAAAAAAATATTTTTAGTGAGAGTAGTTTATGATTTACATAAATATTAAATTTGATTTAACCCATGATATTATATACTCCATCTGCCTCTGCTCTTGTTACAGGGAGACCATTTGCCATGCTTTTTATAAAAACATTTTCGGTCACTTTTGTGTCAGAACTCAACAAGTTAGCCCGATACTTCCGATGCATATGAAAAAGTTGTGTCGGTAAGGCTATTGTACCAAAGCATATAATTATATAGTATACATATATAACATACATAATTTAATTCCCAAACACCAATTTCGACAGACAACAACAATTTAAAATAATTAATTCTTGGGTCTTGCGTAATTTGTAGAAATAATTCAGATGAGAATAGATGAAAACAAAAAACCTTAAGACGATTTTATGTTGGAAACCCCCC